ATTGAAATTACCTATCGACCACATGGTTTCATTATCTCACATATTCATTATATACTGTCTTTTTTTTCCTTCCTAATTTCACCCGTCATTCACTCCCCAAGAATCATTTACAATAGTTATTGCAATTGCTTTTGCGATGATAATCTATAATAATGTACATAAAAAATTTATTTTAGAAATAAATATGTTAAATATGACTGACTAGAAAAAAATTTTGCAATATATAACTTAAATGTGTAAAGTAAAATTAAAGTTTCGTTTTTGCAACGTGATGTGATTAAAGGAGTAGGCAATTTTCAAATAAAATGTTTCTTTTCTAGCAACTTCAACGAACTATTAAGATTTTGCATCAGACTAGGTTTAAAAAATTTCATTAGAAATATACTAAATTACAAAGAAGTGCAAGGGGCAAAACGTCTAATGTAAAAAATCATAGAACTAGTTTCAAAATTACACATGACTTTGCTTACGAAATAACCTTTTCTTAATATTGTCGACGATATGACTCCTGTAGACGAAATGACCTTGTCTACGAAATGAACCTGTTGACGAAATGACCATGTCGATGAAATGACCCTGTCAATGAAACGACCCTGTCAATGAAATGACTCAGTCGACGAAATGACCCGTTCGACAAGATGACCCGGTCGATAAGATGACCATGTCGACGAAACAACCCTGTCGAGGAAATGACCCTGTCGATTAAATGACCATGTTGACGAAATGAACCATTCAATGTAATAACCTTGGCAAAGATATGATCCTGTCGACAAAATGACTTGCAGACGAAATGACCCTGTCGACGAAATGACCTTGTTGATGAAAAGACCTGTCGACGAAACAGCCCTGTCGATGTATTGATTGTAGATGAAATGAATGCGACCCATTTTTTTGGGGGGGGATGGGGAGATTGCGTAGGAAAAATGATATTTTATGCTTCAAAGCATACGATATTAACCAATATAACTTTTACTTGTATTTAGTGGCATAGCTACCGGTGAACAAGAGTATATGTCCCCAGTTGTAGTACAAGAGATGCGCCAAATTTATGGAGAAAAAAAATTTCGATAAAATCTAGAACAAATTTTAATCTCTTTTTAATACCCTTTCACCAGTTTCATTTGTCAATAGCAGTCCCATTAACTGCTAACAATTTTTATCCTATTTACCTAAAAAGTGAATAGGATGTGTGTTATTCTTATAGTTTGCTATGAAAGTAGGTTTATTATTTTTTTCAAAAAAGTATTTTTTTCTTTACTAAAAAAAATAAATAAATAAATAAAATAAAATAAATAACTACAAAATGTTCTGAATTTTTTTTCTCCACATACATACATTTTTCAGGCTCTGAACAAAATGATTGATTTAAAATGTTCTAAATGAAGTTAAATTGTTTCTCAAAAATTTAAAGTTATTAATTGAGTTGCTTATCTCAAATAAATAAAACAATAATAAATTAAAATAAAAAATTTCATAAAAACTTCATTGATCAATTTTAAGTTCTAATATAAATAACTTAAAGTACAGCATAAATAAACAAATTTTAGTAGGTTACTGAGGAGAAATACATTATTGTAAATTAATCTAAAGGAATTGTGGCGTTGCGGTCTGAAATGCAAAGTTCGAACTACGAATCTCTGACTTTGGACTACGTCACTCGCAGCCGATAATTGACGTAAATCTCACACCTTAATGGAGATATGCGTGAAGGGCAAAATCAGCAAAATGCGCACAGTATGTTTTGGATATAACTTGGCCGCATCCCCACAGCTTGCTCTCTCTCCCCGTCGGTTCGAGCTAGCAGTTCGGCATGTTCTCGCCGGTTACCTTTTCGCAGTTTTTTTCTATGCTGCTTCAATGTTAAAGTGGTTAAGTTTTATATATGTTAGAATGTTTTAGTTAAATTTACAAGTTTCCTAAATGTTAATAAAGATAGTTATTTATTTAAACTTAGTGTTATTTATGAAGAAACCTATCATCTGTTCTCGGGAATATTTTCATGTGTAACGCTTTTCTAGAGTTAGATTTCTCTTTAGAGTTTAAGTGGGGACTCTAGCAAAGATACCAAACAACCCCACAAGTGGTGACCCAGACTTAGAAGTAGTGACACCCTTCTGAATTAAAGAATATGTGCAATTACAGATTACTATTTTTATTGAACGTGGCTGGCCTACCTGATACGCAGTGAGCAGTTACTTCCTAGTTAATGTTTCTCTTTTTCAGAGCTGTGCATGTGCCATTTTTATAGGTTTTAATGTTTCTATACACTAGTGCAATTTAAATTTAAACGTATTGAATTTAATTAAATTCTCATGAACTTGTAAACAGTTGAGTTAAGAAATACAATTTGAGTTTGAATTCATAAAGTACAATGTAAAATTGAATGAATGCTTTCGTAAACTATTAATATTTTTTCTTGAATAATGTACTAGTTTTTAATACGTTTTCAAAGGCATTTAAATCGTTAACTTGATAGTATAATGCCGACCGAAAACGAAATAGCCAGAGTTGCATTTTGAGCTCCACCCGTTTGGAAAACCGAAATAAATCTATGGTTTCTTCAAGTAGAATCAAATTTTGTGATGTCAGGAATTGAAAAAGAATTAACAAAATTCCACTGCGTCGTTGCAGCGTTAGATATGGAAGTTCTTTCTTATGTAAAAGATATCGTTGAGGTTCCACCTACAGATAATCCATACACGGTTCTTAAGGAACACATTGTAAAACGTTTTACACAGTCCGAAAGTTCGCGATTGAGGACTTTTTTACAGGAATTATATTTAGGTGAGAAAAAACCAACACAACTATTACATGAAATGAGATCGTTAGCTGGTAGTCAAATATCTGATGATGTTTTAAAAAAATTGTTTATTCAGCGACTCCCTATTAATATTCAGCAAATATTGTCAATTAGTAAAGACAAACTTGATGATTTGGCTCAAATCGCGGATGAAATAAACGAAGTTTCTTGTTTCGGTACTTCAAGTACAGAACATAATATTTCTTCCGTCGATTTAAAAGGGTTACAATCTCAAATTTCTGAACTTTCCGAGAAAGTTGAAAAATTGACTTTTCGACAAAAATGTTACAACGGAAGTAAATTTCGTCAACGGTCTGGTTCAAGGTCTCGTGCGAATTCGAATAATGTCAATAAAACTTTGGAAAAGCAATATTGTTGGTACCATTTTAAATTTGGTAAAAATGCTAAAAAATGTGTCGGTAAATGTTCATACTCGGAAAACTGAATTCCGCTGCTGTTTCGGTGACGACAGATAGTGGGTTAAAGTTCAGTCGCCTCCACATATTTGACCGAAAATTAGGTTTCAATTTTCTAGTTGATACTGGCGCGTCAATTTCAGTTTTTCCACGCGACCCACACATTCATAAGCAACCGACTACGGAGATAGCAATCTACGCTGCGAACGGAACAAAAATAAACACATACGGTTTTCGGAGATTAACGTTAGATTTTGGTTTAAAAAGGCAATTCAATTGGAATTTGTTATTGCTGACGTAGTGCGACCTATCTTGGGTGCAGATTTTTTAGAATTTTTTGGTTTATTGGTTGACATAAGAAATCGCAAATTGATTGATAGTACTTCGAGATTTTCAGCTAAGGGTACACGGGTTCGAGGAAAATCGTTAGGTTTAACTACGATTTGCGGAAATACTGAGTATCATTTCCCGGTATTACAGATAAATCTTTTCTAAAGAGTCCTAAAAAGTGCAATGTTACTCATTCTATCATTACAAGAGGTCCACCGGTTTGTGCAAAGGCTCGTCGTTTAGCCCCAGACAAACTTAAAGCAGCTAAAAAAGAGTTTGACATTCTTATGGAACAGGGTTTAGTTTCTCCTTCAAATAGCCCATGGTCCAGTCCCATTCATTTAGTTAAAAAAAAGAATGATGAATGGCGGGTATGCGGAGACTATCGAAAGTTAAATTCGGTCACTTTAGAAGATCGTTATCCCATACCGCATATTCAGGATTTTTCATCTGGCTTAGCTGGTAAAACTATATTCTCAAAAATTGACCTGGTAAAAGCGTACCACCAGATCCCATTAGAAGCGGATTCAAAATCTAAAAGTGCGGTACTAACACCTTTTGGTCTTTACGAATACAATTGCATGTGTTTTGGATTATCAAACGCAGCGCAAACTTTTCGAAGGTTTATTGATCAAATTCTACGAGGATTAGATTTTTGTTACGCATATTTAGATGACGTGTTAGTCGCTTCCGCAACTGAAAGTGAGCATATGATGCAATTGGAACAAATTTTCGAGCGGTTGAACTCGTTCGGTATTATTTTAAACGTCGAAAAATGCGTGTTTGGTCAAAAGGAGTTGCAATTCTTGGGATTTCTTGTTAATACTCAAGGTATTTCACCTCTACCTGATAAAGTAACAGTTATTCAATTTTCCCTTGCCAAAGACTGCTGAGGAATTGTGCCGTTTCTTAGCTATATTAAATTTCTATCACAGATTTTTAAAAAACGCTGCTACTATTCAGGCCCCCCTACACGATCTTCGTAAAACTAAGAAAAAAAGGGATAAAATGGATAAAGGGATAACTAATTTTGTTGGAACTAAGGGAAAATTATGGATTTATTCAAATGATTGGTTGAAGTTATTTTATGCCACTAGAAGAGACGGATTGTACTACCTGAAGCCATACAAATATAAAACTGGAACTCCAAAAGCTGAAAATAGTGGATTTAATGTTGGCACTTGTAAATCAGGAACAGATATAGCTACATTGTTGCATAGGAGATATTGTCATATTAATTTTGATTACCTTAAAGAAACTAGCAAGAACCAGAGTGTAAGGGGATTACCTAATATAGAAAAACCAGATGAAAATTGTGACACTTGCCTCCTCGCCAAGTCCAATAGAATTTCATTTAAATCAATTCCAAGTCGTACTTCTCAACTTGAAGTAGTATATATGGATATCTGTGGTCCTATGCCGAAAACTTCAGAAGGAGGAAATAGGTATTTTTTGGCAATTATAGATGATTACAGTCGTGCAGTAGTTTTTACCTTATGAGGAATAAAAGTGAAGCATTTAGGAAATTTAAGAATTATCATGCAAAGATGGAATGCTTGACTGAAAGAAAATGAAAGTGTATCAGGAGTGACAATGGCGGTGAGTTCTGCAATAACCAATTTGAACAATACTTAGAAGAGCATGGAATTTGTGCGGAGCGAACTAATTACTATACGCCAGAAGAAAATGGTGTATGTGAAAGATTTTATAGAACTGCTCTGGATACCATTAAATCTATGTTGAAGGATAGTAACATGAATGAATAATGGTGGGATGAAGCAGTATGTTGTTTTGTTCATACATGGAACAGAATTTCAAGAAAGGGAAAGAAAATGCCATATGAGATGTTGTATGGAAGGAAACCACCAGTAATGTATTTTAAAGTGCTTGGATGTAAGGCTTATGTTGGTGTACCTAAACGAAAGAGAAATAAATTCCAAATGCGTGCCAAAGAAGGTATAATGCTAGGTTATGCTTTTTCAACCAAGGGCTACCGTATCTACTTATCTGAAGATCGTAAAGTTATAGAAACAAAAAATTTTGAATTCAATGAAAATGAATTTGCAGTGGAAGTCCTCCTGGACCCAAGTAGAAAACCACCAAGAAGAACAAAATGGAATGAAAAAGAAGAATCAAGTGATGAAGATATTATTCATAGGCCAGAATTTGACTCAAGTTGTAGTCATGAAAGCATTAAGAAGGTATCAGACTTAAACTGGTTAAGAAAAGCAACTAAACGATCAGATGGATCTAGAAATGATATTTATTATTTCATAGAAGGGTCTAAAAACCGATTTAGGTCATCAAATGACATTGAGAAATATTGCGATAGTCATGGAATTAAATTTGAAAAAGATATATTTGATTTTAGTGGTAGGAATGAATATTCTGGTAAAGTAACCAGAAATGAAGTCAGCATAGTACAAGAAGATGAAGCAAATTTAATTGAGTATAATATTCCAAAAAGCTACAAAGAAGCAGTTGAGTCAAGAAATTGTGAAAAATGGAAGAATGCAATGGAAGAGGAAATTGAAATGATGAAGAAAAGAGAAGTGTGGTCATTGGTAGAGAAGCCGAAGGATACTAAAGTGATAGGTAGTAGATAGGTGTACAACCTAAAAACTGATGAATCGAATAAAATTGTGAGACATAAAGCCAGACTTGTTGCACAAGGATTTAAGCAACAACAGGGTATTGACTATACAGTGAGGCATTTTAGCACGTGGTACAACATACCCATAGTTTCATTGCCAATAGCTAAAGGATTAAATTTGTCAATGCAGGATTGCCCACAAACAGAAATGGAGAAAGCAGAAATGGAAAACATTCCATACCGAAGTGTTCTTGGATGTGTGTCCTTTATAGCAAGTAGGACAAGACCTGAAATATCTTATGCTGTTAATATTTTATCGCAGTATCAAGAAAATCCCAGTATCAGACATTGGCAAGCTCTACTGAAATTATTAGGGTATCTGCAATATACAAAGGAAAATATGCTTGATTTGTCGAAAATCTTAGATTTGTCAATAAAGTGCTACACTGATGCCGACCATGCATAAAACAGAGATGACAGAGTGTCAATAGGAGGAACTATTGTATATGTAGGTGATATCCCTATCTTGTGGAAAACCTTTAAACAGAAAATTGTTTCAATTTCTACCATGGAGGCTGAGTATATCTCTTTAACGGAGTCAGCCAAGGAATTAGTGTGGTTAAAAAATGTGCTAACTGATAAGAAACTCAAATTGGACATACCAAGCTGTGAATTGTTTTGTGATAACAGTGCTGCTATTGATTTTTCTAAATCTGAGGTTGAGAACTCTCGAAGCAAACACATTGATGTTCGTTACCATTTCGTGAGACAATATGTGAATGACAAATTCTTTGAATTAAGATATGTTAGAACTTTGAACAATACGGCGGACTTTTTCACAAAACCTGCGGTTAAAGAACACATGAGATCTTTTTGTAATAAAATATATTTAAGGACTTAACTCAAGGTTAAAATTAAGTGTTTAACTTTTTAGCACAGCAAAAGGGGGCCGAATGTTGGGAAAATGTAAGCAAATAGATGGGCATTATTTTCCTCTTGGTTGTGTCACTTCCTGTGGGAAGTTGGGTCACTTCCTGTTAACTCAGCTGGAAGGAAGTGGGTGTTTCTGTTTTTAGTCAGTTATATCTTTACTTTGGATAGAAGATGTTTCTTCTCTTATGTTATGTTTAGAGAGAGCTATGTGATGTTAAAGAGTTATGTTTAGTTTAATTGAATGTAGTTTTTCTTACTTTATATTTGAAGATTTATATTCAATAACTATAGTTGTACAGTTTTCCATGAAGTGAATTCTTGAATAGAAATAGATGTCTTCAATATCTTATACTTAGTAAGCTGGCCCCTATTTTTCAACATTCTATTCATATTTCGCTTAATTTTATAAAGAAAAAGCGAAATAAGAGATGAAAATAAATAAAAACAGATGCAACAAAAAGAAAAGCAGTGGTGTCCGACATAATTATAATTAATTATTAATTTACAATAAAAATATTTGTTATTATCAAAATCTTGCTTTAAACAGAAAAAAATAACTTAATTGTGTTATATCCTAGTGACACAGTACAATAATTATGTATTTTGGTGTCGAACATAAAATATCAAAAGTGTATCTTGATAATTTTTTTAAAGTCAAAATATGAAATGCTTCTACACATTTGTACAAGATAACTTGCTTTGTTACAGTTCACTTTAATTATTATTTTTTCCATTTTCTATTATTTGTATAAATTTCAAAAAAAAATTGTACTTTGTCAGAGATTCACTTATCACAGTTAAAAATTTCAAATGATGTAACCTTAAATTTAAAAGCCTATAACTTATTGAAATTTGATATTTACAAGTCATTATTTTTAAATCTTCAGTTTTTCACCTTGGAAATGATCCCTTGTTTACTTAATATTAAGTTTAAAATTTTGGTCATCCCAACTTGAAACCTGTACCACTACAGTGCAGAACAAAAAAAAATTCGTTTTCCTTCTTTCTAATGAACAAATATAAATATTTTCTTATATTCTAAGTTTATACATCAACTAACCATGCACTCCTTGGTTTTTGCCAGCTTTTTAGGGTAAAAGAAGTTTTAGAAATATCATTTCTGGAATGTAAGCAAAACATTTACGAACTTTTGACATTGTGATTAATACACAGTTCAAATTTTAAATTAGAAATTAAATATTTGTAAAAGAATCTTTTTTTCTTTAAATAAAATATGTTATAAATGGTTCAAATGAAATCCAGAAAATTAGCATCAATGCAACAATTGTAACGGTTTTTCTGCTAGCGATTCAAGAAAATGAGTGATTGGTTGGCTTCGCTGAGAAAAAATAATTCATTGTATGGGAGTAGAAAAGCTTTCAGAAAAAGAGTGTAAGATAAAATCTATTATTAAATTACAACCAATTATTTTTTGGAGAATTTTATAAAGTTGAAAATACTGAAACAATTCGTTAAAAGAAAAAAAAAAATACCCCAAAAGCATTGGAACAAACTTGAACAGTAGATAAATTTAGCCCACAGACTAGAAGATAAAAAAAAACAGAAAAACCTATTTTTGTGAACAGAAGCAAATATACTAACCCCTTCTTTCACCCCCCCCCCACAATTCTTGACTTTCCTGAACTGATTAGTCCCATAATCTCCAAAGAGGTCAAAGATTTCTCCATTCATTTAGCAAAATCGGAGAGTTTCATCTGGCATTCTAATTTAGCAGGGTAATAATGGAGAGAATATTAATGAAGTATTGCTAAGTTGATGATATTTTAGCTGTTTGACGATAAATTTCCATCTAAACAAAGTGGATATAACGGATGGTAAAATAATTTAAATTAAGAAATAAATTCCAGTTTTCCCTGATTTTTATCTAAATTTCCCTGATTTTTATAGGTTTCTTCCAGTATAAAAAAAAAATTCCCTGATAATTCCAGGTTTTCCAGGTGGGTGGCCACCCTGAATAAAACACCTCAGGTCAATATGGAATTATGCCTTGCACCCATTGCAACATCAGCAAATATACCATAATTTCAACCTCATTTACACCTGATAAAGAATGTTTAATTTCCGCCTCAAAAATCCCTAATTTTTATAAACAGGGATGAGAGTAGTCAGAAAGTAAAAAAGAGGAAATCCAAAAAACAAAAAAAAGAAAAGAAAAATATATATATATATAAACAAAAATTTGACAAAAAAGTGCGATTTTCAAACTTGTAAACCATGTGAATATAAATCCCGATATGAGACTTTTAAATCACGTAAATATGAAACTCTACATCGAATTTAAAAAATGCGAAAATACAAATCATGATTTTTTAATTTTTTGATCACGATGCATAATTTTTAAATCGCGCGATATTACAACCACAAAAACGAATCACGATATTGGATTTTAAGCTCACGTGAATACGAATTGCTACATAGGGCTTTAAAAGCTCGTAAATACAAATCGCGATATTGATTTTTTAAATCTCGTAAGTAAGAATCGCACTGTACAATATTTAAATCGCCTGAATAAGAATCGCAACGTTCAACTTTTAAATCAGGTAAATACGAAAATCGAGATTTGATAATAAAATCGAGATTTTAAAAATGCATAAATACAAAACACGATATTGGATTTTTAAATGTCGTAAATAAGAATCATAATATACGATATTTAAATAGCGTAAATAAGAATCGCAATGTGCAACTTTTAAATCAGGTAAATACGAAAATCGATGATTGATATTAAAATCGCGTGAATAAAAATCGAGATCTGAATTACGAAAATACGAGCTATCCAGCCGACGGATAAAAAATACGGAAAATCTTATTTTCTGTGCGTGAAATCGGAGAAAATAGCTAAAATAAGTAAAAATGCGGAAGGGTTAGCAGCTAGGGCGTAGATTGAATTTTCTGTTTATCTTTGAAAATCGTAAATAAATATAATTATTTTACTTCAATGACTGAATTTAAAAAAAACGGGATATTTATTTAAAAAAACGAAACTTTTAGAGAATCGGAGTTTTTGATAAAAAGGCTGAAATTCGAGAGACAAAAAAAATCTCATCCCTGTATAAAGGTCAACCAGTTTTATCCCAAGGAAATGATTTTTAGAGAAACTTCAGAGGGAGGAAAAGAGACTTCAACAATTTCCCTCCGCGGAAAATTAAATTCCTCACAAAACATTTTAACTTGGGCAAAAAAAAATTTCAGCGGAAATTAGCGGGAAAAATGGAAAAATCTGAAAAAAAGCGGAAATCCGCGAATCCGCGGAAGAATCTCATCCCTGTATAAAGGTGTCACTAGGATAGGAACATGTAAAATGTAACTGAAACGAAACATCACTGAAAAAGACAGAGATTTTCAAATAATGGAATATAATTTTCTAAGCAAAATGAGATTCTTTTTTCTAAATGGAAATTAGAACTAATCAAATGATTTTTTTTTCAGATTTTGGATTGCACATTAAAATGACATACTTCAAAAAGATGTAAACCCTAAAACTCAAAATATAAAAAGAATCAAAAAATTTTGACAAATTTTAGCAAGTTTTTAAAAAATTTGTGGTGCATTATCCACATCCAACCATAATCATCCACCCATAATTCATCACTTTTTAACAGCAAGTGAATGAAAAAGAAAAATACAATTAGGAAAAATTAAATAACTAAGGTAATACATTTTTAGCTCATTATACATTACTTAAATCACTACAGCTATGATTTTAAAATATTTTTTGTTGGTAATAAACTTAAGAAACAAACCATGGTAAAGTCCTCCAATTCTTTTCTTCTCTTCCGATTTCGATTATCTTGCTCAGCCTGACAGATTGGACAGATATATAGGTGCGTACAAGGTGGTCCACCTCCAAATCTGTGAGCAAAAAAAAAAATATAATAATAATAATAATAATAAAATTAAAATAATTACAGCAATAATTACCACTATTACATATTCAATTATTAAATAACAAACAGATTTGTTTAATAAAGTATTATTATTTGTAGATGATACAATCATGCTTATCTTTCTGTTTAACGCATACTTTTAAATTTTTTAGAATAGTTGTTACCAGAGCAGCAGGAATGAATATGGGTTAAAAAAGTACATAAGGCGATATAACTGAGCAGTGAACGCAACATATTTTGAAATGTAAATAGAGCATGCACATTGCAATAATAATTTTTGTTCTCAAAATGAACCACCTGACTGGAAGGTGAACCAAGAGAAAAAATTTTGCTTTAATTCTTCTCGTTATTTTAATAAAGAAAATTGATGCAATCAAAATTCTTAAAATATGTTAGCTTACTGTGCTACATTTGTTTGTACAGAAAAATTTGTAAAAAGAGGACCTTATACATTTCATAGGTAAGTTAGTTTATTACTTTTTGAAATTATAATTGTTTTATTTATTATATAAATGAACTTTTAGAATGCTGTGCTTTTCCTTAAAACATCATATTAATTCAGATTACTCCATTTTATACCTTCTAAAATCTAAATTCATGCCATTAAAACTATCTTAAAAGTAAATATAAATGAATAAGAATACAACTTAACCGTAACTCATATACAATTATTTACTATTAATTTTTAATTTTCTGAATTCTTTATTTCTTAATTCAATTTCTTAAATTCAATATCGTGTTTTTAATTTGAATTTTAGTGCTAAAATGTAGCAGGTAAAGGCTTTAGTGACAATGTTTTTTCTTTCCTTTTTCACTTATTTATGCTGCAATTTTTACTTTCTATAATATTTTAAAAATTATCGTCAATATTTTTTTATTATTTTATTTTAGAAGCTTGCTTTGCTTTAGTTTAGTTAATAAAATACAATTTCTCAAAGAGAAGAGGGGTTTTGAAAGATTATTACAGAACTATTCAATAATGTTTTATAGTAATTTTCAGTACATTAAGGTTTTATAAAAAATATAAAAAAATCGAGACATCACAGACCAATAATATATTTGAATTGTAAAAAGTATTTTTATTATCTGTTTTGTAACAATTGGCTGGTGGCTGGGTCGCGTGCATGCGATTTTCCTTTTTAAATCCCTTCACAAATAATTATTCCCTAGCAGGCAGTAAATGGATGAAGAGGAGTGACGTAATGGTATGAGAGCCTATCAGCGATTGCCAGAGGGCGCTGTTTTTCTCCCTCCTTTTTTCGAATCTTCGACGCAGAGCGCGCTAGTCAGTCTCTTAAAAAATTTTATACTTATAGGTTGTTTCAGAGTTTAGGTCGAAGCTTCGGCCTACCCGGCACCCGCATCCATGGATCGGAGATAAGTAACTTTTTAATCAACCGAAAATTCTAATTTTCTTATTTGCTATGTAAGGTGATTTAAATTCAACAAAGGTCGAAATTATGTTAATCTTAAAATTTTTAACTTGAAATAGGTACTTAAAAAATTTAATTACTCCGCTATTTCTAACCACGTACGTGATAAATTTTTTTAAAACTCAGCATTAATTTTTATAAATTTGTTAAATGTGTGATATGTTCATTAATATAATTTAAATTGCTAGAACACTCGAAAATCATTTTTGAAGGTGTACCGAGTTTTTTTAATATATAATGTGTTCTAATTGTTGTTTAACGAAGACACTATATTTCTATAAGTGCAAATGCATTGTAATCAAGAATTAAGTTTTAATACATATTTGTTTTAAATGTTAAATTAGTCTTTAATTTTGACTATGTCTCATGCTGTTTCTTTGGATATAGATAACTTTGGTGCACGTGCAGACCGGTACCATAATTCTCAAAGATAGTTTAGAATCCTTCTAAATAAATTAATAATTATTTCGTTTAATCATGTCAATTAACATTGCTTATAATTAATTCTAGTCCAAATTGCAGTTTAACTAATTAGAATAACATTGATAATTGATCTTGAGGCATGTGGATGGCCAGCACGAGTACGTTAGATAATAGTAATAACTGATGTTAAATGTTAGTTATTAAGGTATGAAGCTACTAATTATTTTAACATTAGAATCACAATGTAATTATTTTGATAATTCTAGTTATATTATTAAATTTTTGATTTAAACTTACACAACGCAAAATTATCGTTATTAAGAAATAATTCTAAGTGCTATACGATCGAATGTAAATCAATTAATTTTTATTAAAGGATAAGGCTAATAGCTACAGATGGATGACAAAATAATACGAACACCTGTGAAAAAGTGTGACTTATTTTACACCTGCAGTACAGCCGCGCCACCTACAACAGAAGTCTGCTACCTAGTGAGCGTGAAGAGGAAGCTATCAGCCTCTCAACATTTGTCACCTGTGTTGCATGAGTTTATCTAACTAACTTTTATAAGGTGAAATGTCTGATCTGTCAGAATTCCAATGAGGGATGTTTGTTGGGGCGCGTTTAAGTGGATCATTGGTGACAGAAACAGCAAACTTTTTGGGGTTTGCAAGAAGTACTGTATCAGCCGTTATGACAGCATACATGAAAGAAGGTAAGACGAAGTCTTCAAAGCAAAACAGTGGCCGAAAGTCAAAGCTTGATGATAGGGATAGACGTGTCTTGCAGCGCGTAGTAGCTCGAAAACACAAGCAATCGTTATCCGAGATAACATCAGACATGAACAGTCATCTTCAGGACCCCGTTTCAACAAGAACTGTTCAAAGAGAACTTCATGCAGCGAACATTTATGGGAGAGTGGCAATTCGTAAACCCTTGGTGACAGCAACCAATGCTTTCAAGCGCCGTCAGTGGTGTAGAGGTCACAAAGGCTGGTCCCCACAGCAGTGGCAGCAGGTAATATGGTCCGATGAATCATCCTTCACCTTATTTCAGACCACCGGACGCGTTTATGTCTGGAGATCACCCAAAGAAGCGTTTGATCCTGAATGCCTCTTACCAACTGCGAAATATGGAGGTGGCTCCATTATGGTTTGGGGTGCAATATCTTGGCATGGTCTTCAGCCACTAGTACGTCTGCATGGGAGAATCAAATCTAATGACTATTTAAGCGTTCTAGCGGATCATGTTCATCCTTTTGTACAGACTGTATTCCCTGGAGAGCGACCGATTTTTCAAGACGACAACGCCCCTATCCACACCGCTAGGTGCGTTCAAACATGGTTCGAAGAGCATGACAATAAAGTTGAGCACCTCGCCTGGCCCCCTCAGTTTCCGGACTTAAATATTATTGAACATTTGTGGCAATATATAGAGTCTAAACTTCGTTCCCGATTCCCAACTCCTTCAAATCTTTTGGAATTAGAGGCCGCTTTGCAAGGGGAATGGCTTAATATTCCTTTACACGTTGTCCATGACCTTTCTGCATCGATCCCACGTCGTATTAAATCTGTAATTCAGTCAAAGGGTGGTCCAACTCCCTATTGATAAAGATTTTCTGATATTTCACAGGTGTTCGTATTATTTTGTCACCCATCTGTATATTCCAACATGTTTGTTAAAAAATGAACCATAAAATCAATACAAATAAATATTGAAATTATAACATTTTTAGATGATAATGCTGACTGGTTATGTTTTTTAAAATTTATAACAGTGATTGAAATTCTAAATTATAACACTTAAGCCTAAGATTGATCAACAATTTTATTTAATTATACCAACAATGTTAAATTATAACACTGGTGCCGTGACCAGTCGCGATAAGCTTAAATTAAAATAAATACTACTACAGGGTTCATGCTCTACTATAAAAATAAAATTCAAGTACTTTTCAAGGACTTTTTAAGACTTATTATAAAATTCTCAAGGACTTAAATNTGTTATTTTTTTCTGTTTATGGTAATTACTATGATTTTTCGTGGTATATCAATGAAATGTTTTATTAGGAAATTTGTGTTAGATTATAGTCATAGTTATAGGTTATAGTAATAGGTGAGTTAGGTTATTGTAATACTGAATAGGTTGATTTTCGAATGATTAGTTAAATAATTTATCATTATGGCAGAGTCAGGTGAAGTCACGGAAATTTTAGCTGCGAGCAATACGCCCGTTGTTATTCCGAGTGTCAGAGTCACTTCAAATTTTATTGCAGATTATTTAAATTTTATTCCGAAATTCGACGGTAATTCTTCATTAAATGAATTTATTAAGAGACTTAACGAAATAGCAGAACATTGTGATTGGTCAGAAAAAGACAAGATATTCGCGTTAAAATTGAGAATTACAGGAGAGGCGCAAGACTACCTTAACAGTCAAAGAGACAGGGATGTATCTTTTAACAATATTGTCAAAAAACTAAAAACTAGATTCGAAAGAAAGAATTCGGTAACTGCTAGTATTGGTAAACTAACTAATGCTTACCAGTTACCTGTAGAGAGTGTTAGACAATTTCTTTCACGAATTGAAAGCCTTTCATACAATTGCATTCCGGAAGAAAATAGTGAGGCATTCGAATCATACAGACTGCAGTTATTGCTCAACGCAGCCAGACAGGGCATTAAAGGTGAGATTTTAAAGGGAATAGGAGCTGCGGGGTTCACCGACTATAGAGAATTTAAAACCCATGCCATAAACTTTGAGGAAACATTATCAATCGCGAGGCCCACTACCGAGGAGGTAAACAATTTTGAATTAAGAAATATGCGCGAAAATAGCTCAGAAATAAAAGAATTAAAAGAACAAATAGCGATTTTAGCAGAAAACATTAAGCAAATGCAAATCAGGAGTAGGGAAAGTAGAGGTAAATATGACCATCAAAATTCTAGGCCAGGCAATCAAATAAAAATATTTAAACGATGCAACAAGAGAGGACACATTGCACCTGCGTGCAAAACTTTAATTTGCAATTATTGTGGAAGGCATGGCCACTTAGAGGAACGTTGTTACCAAAAACGGAGATCAAATAATTTAAACGAGAAAGGGGGG